CGGACAATCCCTCCCCTCACCCTATGGCAATGCTGGACCTGCTGCACCTCAGGGCATGGTTGGCCCTTTTGGCTTCCAAGGCCAAAGTTCTGGTCAAAAAGCACTTAAATGGTAACACTAGCTTCAACTAGTATCAACTATCCTTCTTCTCCTCTTCTCCTCCCAAGACAAGGAACATTCTCTACTCGTACTGTCTTTTTCTATCTGGTGAGAAGAAAAAGATATTGTTGTTTAATTGAAACTATTTACAGCGACACTGGCCATAATTGAAGAGAGACTGATTACATCTCAATTACTATTTAATAATAAGATAGAAAATAATAAATAGCCCTTTCAAATCACAGAATCACAGAAGCAACAAGGTTGGAAAAGACCTACAAGATCATCCAGTCCAACCATTCACCCATCACCAACAGTTCTCACTAAGCCATGTCCCTCAACACAAAATCCAAACGTTCCTTGAACACCTCCAGGGTCGGTGACTCCACCACCTCCCTGGGCAGCCCATTCCAGTGCCTGGCCACTCTTTCAGAGAAGTAGTATTTCCTAATGTCCAGCCTGAATCTCCCCTGGCACAGCTTGAAGCCATTCCCTCTGGTCCTATCACCAGTTACATGAGAGAAGAGGCCGACCCCCAGCTCACTACAACCTCCCTTCAGGAAGTTACAGAGAGCAATGAGGTCTCCCCTGAGCCTCCTCTTCTCCAGGCTGAACATTCCCAGCTCCTTCAGCCACTCCTCATAAGCCCTGTGCTCCAGACCCCTCACCAGCTTTGCTGCCCTTCTTTGAACCCGCTCCAGGGCCTCAATGTCTTTCTTGCAGTGAGGGGCCCAAAACTGAACACAGCACTCGAGGTGCGGCCTCACCAGAGCTGAGTACAGGGGAAATATATTCATGTATTAAATAAAGAAACTCACAGCAAATGAGAACGCCCTACATAGTTGTACACATGTATTTAGACTTTGGATAAGAATTCTGCACAAAACAGTTCCAATCTCTTGGGAAATCCTTTCTGTAATCAAGGTTTTTACAAGATGCTACAACAAAGCTTGAGGAATGCTGAGCTTTTAGACAGCTAAGACGACTGCCTTTTGGCCTCTTTAGTCCTGAACATATGTGAGATTACCACAGTCCAACAGCAGTCTTAACGTATTACACATTCACTTGTATGCAGACCATTCATCTGGACTCAAAAGCCAAAAACAGCAAAAGCACATTAAAACCGTGAAGGTGCTAAGCTCCACTAACATTAATTTTTGTGGGATTAGATCACATCTGTTAGAATGAAACAGTTTGATTTCTAAATTATATTCAACTGCGTATTTCCAGGTTTTAATTTCAATACATTATGAAGGAAAAAAAGAAAAAAAAAGAAAAGAAAAAGGCTTTCATCTGACATTTATCCAGCACCTGAGCACATGGGTGGCCCATCCTCGAAGTGCCAACTTTTTTCTTTATGAAACAGAAATTAAGCTTTCAAATTCTTTTTCCCCAACTTCCGTGAATACATTATTCAGCTTTTAAAACGCCTAATGCTACGATGCTCTCACATACCTGAAATACAAATTTCAGAATATATCTTAGTAACTTGCTTACTGTATCAGAAAAATGCTAACCTAAATGCTAAAATCAATTACCAAGCAATCTTTGAAATACTGGCTGGAAGGCACTCTGAATATAATCTTCTCCAGCTTCCTGCCCAACTTCAGCTTATAACCAAGGCTAGATCACATTATCCAAGGCCCTGTCTTGGTCTCAGAAACCTTCAAGGATGGAGATTCCACAGTCTCTCCACTTAGCCTCTTACCCTGCTGCACTACTCTACTAGCAAAAAGGTTTGTTCTGCTGTTCAGCTTGAACCTTATAAGCCTCAATTTGTAAGCAAAGCCTCTTGCTATATTATTTGCCACTATTAGGTAGTTAGACTTCATCTTTGTAACCCTAACTGCAAGTTGCAAGCAGACTTCTCCTCTTTTCCTCTCCCTTCCTTGCAAGACTATCAAACCTAGCTCCCTCAACTTCTACTCACCATCTGGTGCTCTAGGTCCCTAATAGTTTTGATAGCCCTGAAACAGACTTCAGTTTCTCAGTATTGCCCTAGAAAGGGAACTCACAACTGGACACAGCATTCCAGGTGGAACCTCTGTAGAGCATTATGGAGATGAGCCCACCCTTGCTCCTCCTGATCTAGCCAAGCCTGTCGTTTGCTTTATGCTATGAGGGTAATGTTGGCTCACATTCAACCGCACATCCACCACAACCCTTCAATCTTTTCAGCAAAGCTGATCCTCAGCCAAACCCTTCCCAGCCTGTAGTGCTATAACACAGTAAAACTGAAGTAGAACTGGCAGAACTTCACACTACTCCTTGAACTTTTGGAGGTTTCTCTGGACCCAAACCTCAAGTTTAAGGCCTTTCCGGACTTAAGACCTGCAGTTTACAGAACACAGTGATTTCATCCCTACATAGCACATGGTACTTCCTACAGTCCCTTTTTTCATTTCTGTATGCTCCTTCTTCATGTTTTAGTTCATTGTGAGGTTTTCCGCTTGACCAACCAGGCCTCTCACTGAAACACCAAATAAGTGTTTCCTATTTGGGATATATCCTACACCACGGGATTATTTGTTTGTGAGCTGCCTTTAAGTTTTCTTTAAAAATGGTCCCCCTCTCCTGGGCATTTGGCTGTTATCAAAGGATTTTACCTGCAGGTCTTCTGAAAAAGCAGAAGTCTGCGCTCTCCAAGCTTAGAATCTGAATTCTGCTGCTCACCTTCCCCAGCCTTGCTCCAGCTTCTGAGCTCAGTCATTTTATGGCCCCAGAGATACAGGCTACCATCTATAACCAAATCAGTCAGTTCTCCTCTACTTGTGAGCAGCAGACAAAATGTTACCCTTGGCTAGGCTCTCTGGCATATATGCTGCAAAACTGTTACCAGCACTGTCTAGAAATTACTAAAAACTCATGCAAATACCAGACTGCCCTCCCAGCAGATGTCTGGATGGTTGAAATCCCCCCCTAGTGTGAGGGCCCTGGAATGGGAAGCTTCTGCTAGCTCTCTGAACAGCAGCTCACAACATTTTAAAACCTTACGAAGATTCTTAAAGTACAATTTGCTCAGTTCAGAAAAGCCAGGCTATCAAACTAATCTAAACAGAGCACAGATATCAAGTAAAATGTCAATAATGTGTTTCAATTAAAAAGAAACTATGGCTTAAAATAAATAGTGAGTTGTTTTGAAAAGTTCTTAGATACTGAGAAGATAATAGCGCAGACGAAACAGCCTTTAAAATTCACTGTGGCATTTCCTGTGCAACCATTCTGAGTTTGTTAAGCAGGTTTGACTTAGGCCTCATCAATTACAATGGGCATCAACAGGTGCCTTGACTGTAACAGTTGCTAAACAGGAAAGCTTAAATTTTGAACGCCTGCCACACAGAAAAACTTGGAAGCTATTTACTGACATTTACTCATTGGAGCAACTGTGAAACCCTACTGAAGACCACAAATACTCAGAAACTTATCTGCCTGGCAGCTCATCCCCTTCTTCCAGCTGTATCTGTGAGTCTAATAAAAGACATCAGGTTTTTTGCCACCTTCCTTTCTTAAATGTTAGAATAATTTTACATAACTCGGGCATAACTCCATACACTTCCAGGGGCAGTTGGCTTTAAAAGTTCCCATCTACTTTTTCTGCCTTCTCAGCTGCACTGATGCAACAAGCATAAGGCCTTGCAGTAAATTAGATCACTGGAGTAATTGCAGCCATCACAAAGTCCATAAATACAATTAAGGATGCAACCAACAACAGCATGAACACTGTCTTTCAGATTTCTCTCAAACTTTACCACTGAATAGCTCTAGCAGTTCTTCTGTGGCCTTCTGTGCACCAGCAAGACAAATCTGCTTTATAAAGGCAGAGTTAAAATTGCTGAGCATGACTCTTTCACATAAAACAGGACAAAACAGACAACAGTTCCTCCCTTACGCTTAAAAACTACCATCACAGAGAGTAAATCAGATCTGGCAGGGATGTCAGATCCAAATTACTGCACACTCTACAATTTGCTCTTTGCCTGACTGTTAACAGCTTCCAGCCCTTACAGAAATAGTTTCCTTTTCAGTAGCAAAGAGACATGCAACATCAAGTCTTGCTATTAGTGCAGCCCCACAGAAATATCAGAAATCCATATTGCATACATAAGTTCAGATCAGCTCTTCAGATCTCAGTAACTCCAGAGGAGCAGCAGGGCCTGTAAGATGACAGGCAAGCATATTTAAAATAAGATTTAAAAAATAAAAATTAAGAAAAAAAAAAAAACCAGAAAATTAAGAATAAATAGGATCAGCACCTGAGAGAGCAAATAATCCTGATATCATCCATTTTCCTGTCTCTAACAGCTATGAGATTGTCTGGAGTTTCGAAGCAAGAGATTTAAATCTTCCTACCAAAACTACTACCACTATTAAATGTAATGGGGAATATTTTCATTATTCATACAGCATGCTCACATCCAGTTATATCCCATAACACTGAATTTTAGGAAGTGCTTTCAGTAATTCTGCTATTGACGCACTTCCATTTCACTGAACTTCTTGCTCACCAAGTCAGTCACCACAACTGACCTATCATCATCAGGCACTTGTTTCACAAACTGTTACTTTGTTCCTTTTCATTCCTGTTTTTAAAAATAAATCACCCCAGCTTTCTTTCTGTATTTTTTAAAAGTTAAATACTTTCTACTCAAGAATTCTTTCAAGAACTTCACAGTTATCTATTCTTCAAAGGTTCCTCGTGAAGGAAGCAAATACATATACCAGGCACGAACAAAGTCAAACAACAGAAATGGAGGTAAATGGCACTGAAGGGGCCTTCAGAAAGCACCCCTCACCAGAATCCCTTGGCAGCGTTCTGTTTCCTTAATTCATAGCTGCTCACTGTAGACTCTATATTTAGCAGTTTGATGCTTCTGGCTTTCATCCCGAGAAGTGCCAGCTACCATGGGCATATGTCACCACTTTTGAGCGGCAGTTCTGCTCTGCTCAGGCCCAAAGGGCATCACAGGACACTCCGGGGCAGCCCGGGTCATCTTCCCAGCACACACACTGCTCAAGGTCAGCTGCACGCTCACTGCCACCGCTGATGGGAATCCTTTTTTGAACCACCTGCCTCGGCAGCCCTGACACCAGCCACAAAGCACAGAAACGGCGGCTCTGCAAGAACTAACTTGACTGAGGAGAGCGATGCTCACAAGCAGGGGCTGAGTCTCTGCGGGAGGAGACGTTTTGGAAGAGAACACCGAGCCCTTCATCTCATACGGCACCCAGTAACGTAAGGGCAAGCAGGGCCCATACCGCAGCCGGGACAGCCGCGGGCCCAAAGGGCCACCGGCAGCCTCCGTGGCTCCCCGCTGCTCGGGGCTGAGCACCGCAGCGCAGCTCCCTGAGCGCACGCACGGCACCGCTCCCGGCACGGGGAGAAGGCCGAGGGGAGCCGGGGACGGGTGTCGGCGGGGTGGTTACCTGAGCCGTGCAGCGCCCGCACCTCCAGGCGGCCGGGCCGAGCCGCGGCCGCCCCGCCGGCCAGCACCTGCCGCAGGAGCAGGCGGACCCTGCGCGCAGCAGGAGCCCCGGCCCCGCCGCCCAGGCACAGAACCCGCGACTGCATGGCCGCGGGCAGCGCCGGGCCGAGGCGGGGAAGGGAAGCGCCGCCGTACAAAGTCCCACCGGAAACTGCAGCCGGGCCGGGCGGCGGCCGGGGCGGGCAGAGCCTGCGGGGAGCTGAGCGGCTGGGGAGCTGTGCCATCACCGTCCTTCCACTCCTTGCAGCACGGCTGAAGCTGGCATAGACCTCTGGGTCCCTCTGCTCCAGCCCCTGCCCCAGCAGGGACACCCAGAGCAGGGTGCCTAGGGCCATGTCCAGGTGGCTCTGGGAGATCCCCATGGAGGAGACCCCACAGCCTCTGTGCAGCCTGCGTCAGTGCTCTGTTAGTGCACACACAGTAGGGCTCCTGGTGTTCGGAGGGAACATTCTGTGCTCCAGTTTGTGCCCATGGCTTCTGGTCCCGGCACCGGGCACCACTGACAGAGTCTGGCTGCAGCCTCTGGCACCTTCCCTCAGGCGTTTATGGGCATTGATGAGACCCCCCCTGAGCTTCCTCTACTGCAGCCGAGCAGCCCAGTGTCACTCAGCCTCTCCTCATATTTGAGGTGTATTCACTTCTCTGTGTCCCATTGGAAAGGAACTTCTTTTAAGAGGCTTCCCTGTGTGTAAAAACTCAGAACACAGAACTACAGTCCATAAAACACTGGACAAGACTAGTCTTAGGACATAACCTATGTTTTTGCTTCTAAGCAGCTGATCACATCTTACCGTTTCATAGAGGAACAGTTTAAAGTTTGAAGCTTTTAAGCAGGAAAAGTGAGAATTTATGTGATAAAAGGGGTAAAAAAAACCTCACCAAACTTACTGCCGTATCAGCTGGCAGGTTTAAGTTCAGTAAGGATGGTTGGAGTGCCATCTGTAAGAAAGACACAATTTTTATATGAAAGTGACTGAACCCCGTGACTGAAGAAGCTTAAAAGACCTCAGAAAACAAAGTATGGGCAGCAGCTGCTGAAATAAATTTACATGTAATAGATATTTTCTAATTTTAATTTCTTAAATTCTGTCACAACATGCTGTATTAATATGCTCTGTTGTCCCAGGACCACATATTTGATATATTAGTAGAAAAAAAAAATCGTATTGTTTTTAATTTTATCATTTAAGACAAATTCCTGGAAAGTGATATTTTATACACAGTTTAGGTTTGAGATTTTCATAATGTGGTATGAAAATTTAGATCAAATTATTCTTATTTTAACTGAAGTTACACATTGAATATATTTAAAAGATTGAGAGTAAAATAGAATAATTCATTACAGCCTGAAACTTCCATTAGGCTCCAGTGTCAACAAAAAATACTAATTTCAAGGGAAATCCACTTGTGTCTTGGATCTTGGCACTAATAAAAAAGAAGATAGATAGTGAGGGAGCCCAACCACAGGTTGAAACTGGAGTCAAATCACCAGGTTTTTTATCTGTATCTCAGTTTTTAAGATATCTTGGATTTATTTCTCCAATAAATTTCCCATTTCTTGCCTGTTTTAAGCATTGAACAGTTATCCCAAAGGACAACTGCTGAAGAATAACTTGATAATCTGTTTAAACATAGACAAGTTAGACTTCTAAGCCCTGAAAAATGATGTTCTGAGTTGCCAGTATTTAGTCCTATACACATTTCTGCAGCTCAACATTATGCTCTAAACACTTCAGAATGATGAGATGAGGTGAGATGGGAAACATGAGTGTTTCCCATTGGCTAGCATGTTGTCTGTGTATAAGTTCTTTTCTTAGTACCTAATGTAGGTTTTTGAACCTCCTTTCTGGGTCTAAGACATGTTAAACTAAATTGAAACATCCTTTTATAGACATTGTCCTAATTTCTTGTAAACTGAAATCTTGAATGCTGAAGGCCAGAGATAGCATGTGAGCTACTGTGTTCAGTTCCAGGCCCCCTAGGACAGGAGAGATGATGAGCAGATAAGGGAAGGAGTCTAATAGAGGGCCACCAAGATGATGAAGGGCCTGGAGCACCTCTTCTGAGGGGAGAGGATGGTAGAGCCTGGCCTGCTCAGCTGGAAGAGTCTCAGGGGGATCTCATCAATGCCCTTTCTTTTGTGTTTTGTTTTGTTTTTGTTTTTGTTTACACTAAGAATGATGAGGCACTGGCCCAGGTTGCCCAGAGAGGTGGTGGATGCCTCATCCCTGGAGACAATCAAGGCCAGGCCGAACAGGGCTCTGAGCAACCTAACTGGGCTGTAGGTGTCTCTGTTCATTGCAGGAGAGTTCAACTAGGTGACCCTTAAGGGTCCTTTCCAACTCGATTCTATGAAACAAAAAGATTTCTCCACATTTTGTACAGGTACTTTCAGCCTTTTTAAAAATCCTCACTGTATTTTGTATGGGAACTGCTGAGTCACGGCCTGAACTTCTGATTAATCAGCTGAGGTGAGCCTTGAGTCAGCCAGAGGAGCACAGGTGAAGGCAATTCTATTCTAAAGACCTATTTAAGAGCTGGCTACCAGAGGGGAAGGATCTCTTCTGGAGATCCCCTCTTTTGGTATCTTCTGGTGAGCTCAACCCAAGGGTAAGCTCTTCCACTTATTCTCTTTTGTGATCATTGTCTGTTTGCCTTACTCTCTTGATTATATTGTAATTATAATATCTTGGTTATACAACCACTTAAACTTTGGCAGTCTTCTATTCTTAGGAAGCTTTATTGCTTTGTATTACCTTAGCTCAAAGATAGTCCAGGACTCAGTTCAAGCTGAGGTTATTCGAAAAACAGTTTGTATTTCTTCCTAAAGCTGGCCTGTGGATAACTGGAGGATCTAATAGGGTCACAAAGCAAGCCCACATGCCTTTCTGCTATATCTTAATGAAATATATTTTTTTGGCAGAAGGATGTGTCAGATCATTCCCTCTTTAGCTAAAACATGGAGCCAAAAGGAGGTGCAGAGACCTTGGGAAAATTGCTCTTTGAATCCCTAGAGCCAGAAGCTTTCTGACATCATCACTGATGGTTCAGATATTTTAAATGAATCCAGTGCAATTTGGGATCTATGCATTCAGAAGGTCAGAAATTACAATCACACCTGCATTTGCTGATTTCCTCCTTGCTTGTGGGTCATAGCATGGCAGCTTGCCTCCCTGCCTGCAGTGACCTGTGCAGTGTTCCTGAGGCAGAGGGTGAGCCATGGAGGGATGTGTGCTCCAGTGATGGGAGCAAAGTGGCTGAAGCTCTTCTGGATTTACAAGGGTTTCGCTTTAGTCCTCAGCATTGACTGCTGGCTGCAATTTGTACATATGTACACCTGTCAAGCTAAATGCTTTACATTTCAGCTCTTTCTGAGTCACGTATCTGTGAAATGTTTTGCCTTTTAAAACATTATCTTAAGATTCTAAATTAGTCAGCTTTTCCAAAACTTTAAATTCAGCTTTAAGTACAGCCTTGAATTTCCATTTTAGCATAAGAAAACTATCTTTACCGATTGTCAAGCTATTGCTGAAAAAGTTATAAGGGGAACATTGCCATCTCTCTGCATAATTATGAGCAGATATTTTATTGAGTGTATGTGTGTATGTGTGTGTATATATATATATACATACACACGCAAGCAATCAGATGTGTAACTTGAATGTTGCATGTTTTTATGCCATATTGTCAGTTATTAACCACTAAAAAATCAGTACAAATTAATAAAATGAGAGTATAGAAGCTGCCTTTTCTTTTATATATATGTATACATCCACGTGTGAAATTTTATCCTGCTCCACAATGTTACATTATTGCTTGAACATAGCATCTGCTTCACTTGCAAACCATAACTGAAAGTTCTGTGCAAATGTATATGCTTTACATACATGGTACTTGCTCCCTCCTTTTTCCTGAAAGCATGATTCCATAAGTAGTTCAGTCCTGTCATGAAGTGGAAGGATTTAGCAGTCTGCATCTGGTGTGCTGGCAAGGCTTTCTCAGATGATTTACAACACTGGTAACAAACAGCTATTTCATATTTTCATTCCCTGGCTTAACAGCATTCTTATTTGGAACGTGAAGTTTCTGAACAAAAATAATTTTCCTTTGATTAAACAGAAAAGAACTTATTCCAAGGAGCAAGAGCTCAGAAAGTATCTCTATGAGTTGACAGCTTCCAGACTCTTCTCTGTAGTAGCTGTCATCTACTTTGGTGCAGATCTGTAGCTGCAAGACAAAATTAGACACAGGTGCAGGCTGTAAAGAACAATGCATCATCTTTTCCTACTTATCGTCACTTCTCCTACACAACCAGATAGAACACAAGTGAGATGAAACCATGGCTTTCTCTGAAGTTTGTAGGAAATCTTTTGAAGGTAGTGAGGCCTGATTTTTACCTAAGTGACATGGATGAACTGAAAGAATGTAAGTCAACCAGTTTTCATTTATTGTTATCTCTTTGTCTAGAATATAGGTCTGTCATTAAACTCCTTGAAAACTATGGCCAGAAAGAGGCAAAGAAAGAAGTCTATTAGAGTCCACACCATTCTCCAGTGCTGTGGGTTCCGTCAGGTAATGTTAAGAGAGAGAGGCAAACCATAGAGACAGGCCTCACCCACCAAAAATTTTCATTCCCTAGCTCAAGAGGTAACCTTGTATCTCTTTTTAGTCAGGCAGAATTCATTTCCTTAGTTTAAAACTCGTAGTTGTTTTCCCAAGCTGTGTTCAATCATTGCTGGCTTGTGTTAGATAACAGAGAGAGAGAGAGAGAGGCTGGCTTGTTTTCTTTTGGCTTATCTCAGTTTTGAACAAATTTAAGTACTGATTTCCATGGAACCACTTTGATTTACAATAGTGAGAGTATTTCTAACACCAGAAGGTGCTTCTCTTGTATGGAATCAATTTGGAGCAATATAAATCGAATAAAAGTTGTCGTGCACAGCTGTTCCTGTGTTGACTTGAACCCCAAATTTGTCCTCTGTTTTAATCTAAGTTGGTTTTAAGAATGAATCAACATTGCCATACTAAGACTATTGTAAACTCTCTTCTTATCTCCTGATTCTTGCTAAACTGGCTTTCACTAGCAATTTCTTTCTGTGCATCTCTTGATTATTAGTACATTAACCTTTTTCTTCTGCACTATTATAAAATAGGCATGAGTGAAAGCTAGATTATGTACCACAAATAGTGTTTATCACAGATTTTCCACTGATGAAGAATGCATAATTACCACCTCTTCGGTTAAGTGTTGAAAGATTTTTGCTCTGTTTGTATGACAACATCTTTCAAGGAATTAACATTCACTCCATTAGCTTTCTCAGTGTCTGTTCAGAGCCATCTCTTTGCACGTTATGCTGTGCTGTTTGCACTGCTACACTGAGCTACAACCAGTAAGGAGAAGGGCATTATTAATTTCTTTTTTTTTTTTTTTTTTGTAAGACATCGAGGTGAGGAGCTTCTTGCCATCTGATTGCTCACTAGAAACACCTGAGGTTGACCTAGCAGCCTCAAGATACTTAGAAGTACATTCCTCACAGAACATTACTGCAGTCATAAAACCTGTTCATATTTTTAAAAGCAACAAAGAAGGTAAGAAAAGCAAGTACCATGTTGAATGGTACTGCATATACCATATGCACATATATATATACCATATACCACAGATATATATCCATATATGTGTACTGTACAAATGCGCAGAGGATGAAGGCCGTAAGTGAAGGCATCTGTAATTTCTTATGCCAAACTCATCTGTTTTCAGTAGTTTGTAACTCCACCATTCTTTAATAATTTGCACAGAAATTTCTCATGCTGAATTTCTGCCTCAGGCTGAAGGCTTTTTTTGAAAATTTGAACAAAAATAGCTTAGCCACTTTTCAGAAAAGAAAGAAAAAAACATTTTTCTCAATAGCAGCTGTAACCCCTGTATTACTGGGAAGGCAATACAAATCAGCAGCCCCATCACTTGAGGGAAATGCATACAACCTTTTTGATCCTATTAAAGGGCAAGGAAGAGACTGGAAAGAATGAAATCTCCATCCTAGCTGATAAATCTGCATCTGGTTTTACCTATGTGAAAATAGCTCTTATACTAAAAGCTTCACCATTTCTGTGCTTCAGAACAGAAATTAGAGTTTTGCTAAGAGAGCAATTCTGGTTTCAGAGAGCTGATTTTGATGACCCCATTTTTTGCTGAATTGTGAGCTTCTGAAAATCAGAGAAACACACTTCATTACAGTTCAGCAATTAACTTGTCTTATTCTGATTGAAAGAAGTCAGATGTAGGGTTTGACTGCATGGGTTGAGCCAGACTTACCCCTCTTACTTCTCCTTCAAAGCCAGAGAGCACTGCAGGCAAAGAGATTCATGTGCGTTCAGTAGTCTTCCTCCTTCTCTCCCTAGGTTGGGGAAGCAGAGGGATGAGGAGCCAGGCATGAAAGGACTGTTAAAGAGTGGTGAGTTGAGCACAAGGAGCTCTAAGGGGAAAGAGAGCATGTGAAAGCACTAGAAAATGTTATGTACTAGGTAGGATGAGAGCAAAAAGGGACGTGAACTAAAGTTATGAAGGATGAAGTTAAAACAGGCTGAAAGCACTGTGGCCATCACAGTCTGCGGGTACTGGAGCCTTCAGTGTTCTGCTGCTGATAGATACAGCACACGCTCCTCAGTATTTATCTGTTATTTAAAGCTTTCTCTTTGTTGGCAGTTGCAGCTAGGTGCAGATCTTTTGCTGACACATAGTATTGAAGTATATTACTGGTTATTGAAATTAAGCTACTGTTGATATGAAAGCTTTTGTACAAAATCAGTGAGATGATCAGAAATCTTGATTTCATTGTCTTCACAGATATATGTAACCTGGGAAAGTCTAGCAAGCATTACTTGTGTGTGTGTGTGTGTGTGTGTGTGTGTGTGTGTGTGTGTGTGTGT